AGCTGAAAAAGCAAATGAACAAACGCACACACACCCCCGTACTCCCAAACAGACACCATGAATTTGTGAACTAGATGCTACACTATTGTCTTTGTAATGCCAACTGAAGTTGTTGCACGCCTCTTAAAAAGTATGTGCCTTTGTCAGGGAGAACCAGGGAGAAGCTGATTCGTGGAAAAAAATGTAGCAGCTGAACTTCACTGCAGAAACACCTTCTGCTCAGATGTCTCTCAGCCAGATTCTTTTTCTTCATGCTGGCTCGGTGGCTATCTCTGTTTCAGAACATGTCATTACAGTAACAGCTTACGTTTTGAGACCTCAACTTGCCAATCTGCAGTAAGCCACACTGACCCAACGATGCGTTTGCTAGCAAGTGCCCTTCCCCTTCTGAGAAAGCAGAAGGCACGTTGCTAAGGCTTCCTCACTGATTTATAGGATCGATCCATGTTGCTAAAATGTATTTTTGCCTTTTTTTTTTTTATATTGCTTGGCACCGTCTTTTCCTCTGCTCTTACGTTTTCCACTTTAACTACTGTGTAGCAGATACAAAGCTATGGCTGCATTGCGACCTCAACATGCACGTGGACAAAGATGCTATGTGCCCAGTAAAGGGGAGCAGGAACAAAGGGTGGGGTCTGCCCAGTCCCGCTTCTCCACCGGTGAGCTTCAGATGGTATCACCAGCATGTAGGAACAGGAAACCCACACTTCCATCTGTCTTCCAGCACAGCCGTGTCCCTCTCCTGACGCTCTCTTCAGCTGTAGCAGAAAGAGTGCAGTGCCAAGAGCTTGTCAAGAGGGAATTGGTTTCTGAGTGCTTTATTGAGAGAGAAACTTGCATAATTAGGAGTAAATTCTTTGGGTTTTTAGATGGAGATTTGACCACTGTTTTTCTGCTTACAAGAGGCAGGGAAGTGGCCTATGAAGCTTGCTAATCTTTTAACTTCAAGAAGTCCTTTTCCTTAGTCAAGTCTCTTGGAAGGTCCGTTACTGTTCATGTAATAAGATGTGGTGCTAATGACTGGAATGATACACGTTCTAACAACAGTGAAATGCAAGAAGCCAAAACTACCTTAACAAACACGCTTCATTTAACTAAAAGAGGCAGACTGAGCAGCAGGTGGAAGGGTTAAACAAAAGGAAAAAAGATTATAAAAGTTTGCGGCTTTGGCTTCACTACAAATGGCTCTCTTGCAGACTTTATAGCATTAGTGTTGCTTCTCATAAACCTTGAAACCATTCATCCATTTAGAAAGATTAAATTGGTTAGTCATCCAGACCATAAAATATACACATCCATTTTGTCTGTTACCCTAAACCATCTGAAAAATAATAAGTGCAGTTGATGCTATTAAACCAAAGCACTGAGTATTAATGATGGCCTTAGTTGTGGTATTTACAGTTTGCCAGATCTTGTGTTTCTGGTAGTATATTCATCTGCTGTTGCTCAGGGACAGCAAGAGCAGGGTCTTTGAGTTGGAAAACACAACTATATTATATGATGTGAGGAGCTCAGAGAAACATCTTGGTATTAAAGCAGGGAAAATCCTATGAATGTTACATATTTTTTTTTTTTTGTTATTTTAGAAGGTTGAAGTTATATCTTAATATATTTATAATCATCTGTTAAACAGTTTGCCAAGATAGTTGTGTTTGGTTTTCTAGTTACAGATGAAGCTATTCCTATTTAAAGTTGTATTCTGTTGTGACTTCTGTTGGATTTCTGTCACTTAAACAAGCTAGACAAAAATGGCCAGAGTCTTATAAAGCAAGAATTTTTAGAGGCACTTGGTCAGGAAGCAGATTTGTAATTAAAAGTGTAATAAAAATTTAGATTTGATTTAGCAGCATTTTTTCTTGATTAATATCAGGATTTCAGAAGTAATATTCTTTCCCAGAATTGAGCAAATTTGCAATGGTTGCTTCAGAC